GACGATATACATTTTTTGCTTTACTCAGTTTGATGAAATATTCATCTGGATTACGAGAAAATATCGTTGTTTTATAAAAACCACGTGTAAAAGGTTAGCACTGCATGAAAATCATTACATCCGGTATGACTAATTTTAAAACCTGTCAACAAACCCGGAAAATTCCGGACTCTTGGAAACCCGAATTCTTGATCTCTCGAAGTTTCTCCTTGGTCCCGCAGACTTCGAGGTATCGAGAGTTACCTGTAGTATATGTTGAAAGACTAAAAAGATATAAAAAGAGCTTAATTTCTAATTTTTGGAATGACCTTGACCTTTGACCTTTGATATATTTTAAGGTCAAAGGTCAATGAATCTTATGCAGTTGGTCCCATGTCTCTACGACTTATCGTTTTGAAAATTTTTAATTATTTGTAAACATCAAAAACTTTCAGGGGCAATAACTCATAAAAGGGGTCCACGAACACTTTCGCAATGAAAAGATTGAAAAGTCCCCTCAATTAGTCGAAGACATTGGTGAAGGTTTCGTACCTCTACGGTTTACGGTTTCGAAGGAGTAGCGATAACAAGGTTTTTCGTACAAGGGGCAAGAACTCCGAAAGGGGTCAAAGGTCATACTCGTTGGGTAGTTTTTCGAAATAACTTTTGATGTCAAGTATCATGAACTATAAAGTTTTTCGATAAGTCTTTTGGTTCAAAAGGCCGTAGCGGAAAAATAATAATAATAATAATAATAAACAGAAGCATTTCAAGAGGTCTTTCCACAGAAAGGTGGAAAGACCTAATAATAAACAGAAGCATTTCAAGAGGTCTTTCCACAGAAAGGTGGAAAGACCTAATAATAATAATAATAATAATAATAAACAGAAGAAAATCAATAGGTCTTTCCACAGAAAGGTGGAAAGACCTAATAAACAGAAGAAAATCAATAGGTCTTTCCACAGAAAGGTGGAAAGACCTAATAAACAGAAGAAAATCAATAGGTCTTTCCACAGAAAGGTGGAAAGACCTAATAATAATAATAAACAGAAGAAAATCAATAGGTCTTTCCACAGAAAGGTGGAAAGACCTAATAAGCATTTCAATAGGTCTTTCCACAGAAAGGTGGAAAGACCTAACTAGGAGACTAATTGTTCAGAGAACAATTAGAGGCCTTTCCACCTTTTTAAGTGTTTCCGTGTCATTTGGGTTGAGGAAAAGTAGAAAAATACAAAAAATGGGGGGGGGGGGGGGAAAATTTGCTCCTCCAGCAGGGATCGAACCCAAAACCCTTGGATTGAAAGGCAGGTGCGCTAACCATTCGGCCACGCATTCTGATATCATTCGTAAGTTAAAAAAGAAGTTCCGTAAAAGGAAATAGTTCCTGAATTTGCAAGCAGTATATTAAATAATAAGGGACGGGCTGCGTAAGAAAACATTAACACTGTTCCCTAATGAAAATGTATTAATGGACTGTAGCCCGATTCATAGATATTGTGAGCATGCTGAATTTTTTGTAAATAGCTTTGTTGTAAGCTTAAAAGATCGGGTTCGGATTTTAACATTTCTGACTGAATATCCTGAAATAACTATGAAACATTTAAATAAACATTTCTTTGGGTTAAATTAAATATGTGTATCACAAATTAAACTCCCAACATGCATTTTTAGAAGGGAAAGACGACAATGAAAGCGAGAATTGTTTTTAATCTACCGAAAATCGCTATTTCTTGAAACTGATTAATTCTAAATAAAAATCAAATAAATTCCAAATGTAAAAGAAAGAGAGAATGCTTGGTATTAAAATGTCGTATCATATCAGGAGAATCGAATGCTGCTAACGACATCTGAAGAAATAGCTGATAAAAGGTTTAGATCATTTCTCCGTTCACCTGCACTTTAATTACAAACACAACAGAACTTGTAGTTTTTGCCGTGAAACTTCAAGACTTCTATAAACTTATAGGACTCACCGTAAAACTCTCCAGAAACTTTCTCTGAGGTCTATACTACTATTGTACCAAATATGGTGTCAATCCGAGGTCTGGTTTGAATTTGACAGAAATATTCTACGTTGCTGTTGATGTGATTTTTTTTTTTTTTAAGAAGGGGGGGAGGTTAATTATTTATTTTATGCCTCTTTTAAACTAATAATTGTAACTACTTCCACATCCTTAAGCCTGATTGTGACCTTGGGTCAAGGTCAAAGGTCAAGGTCATTACAAAAAAAAGAGAGAGAGAGAGAAATCTTTACTTTTCTATGTTTTTACCTGATACTGGAGCTGAATGCATGTCCTTACTTTTCCATTTGACCCAAGGTCAAGGTGAAGGGTCAAGGTCAAAGTTCAAGGTCATTTGGTAAATTGCCATATTTTACACATATATAAGGAATTTCTAATGTTTTTAAATGACCTTAACCTTTGACCTTGACCTATATTTCAAGGTCAAAGGTCGAACATGCTCATGCAGTTGATCCCATGTCTCTAGGATACACCGTTTTTAAAAAAAAGTTCATTAAATGTAAGCAGCGTAAACTTTCAGGGGCAGTAACTCATACAAGGGACCAAAGAATGCTTTCGCAATGATAGAATGAAGAGAGTACTAAATGAGTCGAAGACACTGGTGAAGGTTTGGAATCTCTACGGTTTACGGTTTCAGAGGAGTAGCGATAACAAGGTTTTGTTGCACAAGGGGTGACAACTTTTGAATGGGTCAAGCTCGGGGGACAAGAATGAAATCTTTGAAATAGTTTTAGAAGGACATATTATAGATGCAAAGATATTCAGTATATGTTGAAAGACAAAAGAGATATTAAAAAAGCTAATTTTCTCATATTTTGAATGACCTTGACCTTTGACCTTGACCTTAAGTTCAAGGTCTAAGGTCAAAGAATCTTATGCAGTTGGTCCCATGTCTTTACGACTTGTCGTTTAGAAAAGTTTTTCATTATTCGTAAACATGAAAAACGTCCAGGGGCAATAACTCATAAAAGGGGTCGACGAATTCTTTCGCAGTGAAACCTTGAAGCGAGTACTCAGTTAGTCGAAGACATCAGTTAATGTTTCGTACTTCTGCGCTTTATGATTTCGAAGGAGTAGCGATAACAAGGTTTTTCGTTTAAAGGGCAAGAACTCCGAAAGGGGTCATAGGTCCTACTCGTTGGGTAGTTTTTCGAAATAACTTTTGATGTCGAGTATCATGAACTATAAAGTTCTTCGAAAAGTCTTTCGGTTCAAAAGGCGGTAACGGAAAAATAATAATAATAAACATAAGCATTTCAATAGGTCTTTCCACAGAAAGGTGGAAAGACCTAATAAACAGAAGAAAATCAATAGGACTTTCCATAGAAAGGTGGAAAGCCCTAATTAATTCAATACATTCTCTCGATATTTTTTATATAATGGCACTAAACAAACGTTTCAGATTTGTATTAATGGTCTACCTAAGATTTGCAAATAATATTCTGTTTAATAATAAAATGCATTTTTCACTGTGAAAAAATTACATGATCTGCCTCTCACTGCACATAAAATGCGTCAATCTTTACCATGATGACGTCAAGTCGACAAGTGCATTGCGATCAGTGACTTGTTTATATCTTGCTGTGTGGGATTTATTTAGTGACAAAAATGAATGCAGTGGTAAGTTTTGATGTAGTTCATTACTCTTATGCAGTTTAGATTCGCAAATTATTTCATTTTCTGTTATTGTGAGGAATTGCTATATTTGTGTGATGTCACAGTAAACTTTTCCCGTATAAATTAGGCCCCGCCCCCTTTATGCAGCCTTAACAGAGCTGCGTTTTTGAAAGTGTCAATAAATTGCAATCAGGTCTAATAGGAGTTGCAAATGAAAGATTGCAGCCTACCCCCAAGTGTAACGAATGGATGGACATGTGGATAGACCAGGGTTCTCCATGGGCCGTTTAACGTGGCGCCCCCGCCACAGTTAAATTCCTTAGCGCCACAGTTCAAAAATCAGCGCCATAGTTCCGCCACAGTTAAAATATTAGCGCCACAGTAAGATCGTCGTCGTCAATAAGATAAATATATAAATTTATAAACCAAATGAACCTCCAAATTAAGTACACTTTTACAGTTTCTTATGCTAAACCGTTAATTTACTCTACGGTAATTAGGGCCCATTGTTTGGCTTGCACAAGCAATTATCTTCTAGACCTCGCTGGACACTTAAATGAAAAGAAACAAGCCATTTTTTCCACACTTCACGATAATTGCAAATGAAATTTTTTAAAATATCAATTAATTCATGCTTTAATAGTTCTACAGATAACCATGTCTCTAAAATTGCATTGGCACTGCGAGTCAAACGTCGTAAGCGTGTACTGTTGTAATCATGTATTTTTGTAATGTTGAAAATTAACGATAGATCCACCAAAATATTATTTTATGACTCTAAACTGCTTATATATTTTTTTAATTCACGTTTTAAGCTATTTCAGTCTTCAGACCGATAATTGCAAATATATATACAGTGGCGCCTCATTAATCCAGACACCTTCGTTCCCAGCAAAATCGTCCGGATAAATGAAGCGTCCGGATAAGTGAATCGACTATAAAATTACCTTCCAAAATGTACACATTAAGCTATCAAATAGAAAAACAAATAGCTGTGATACCTTCTATGCCTTTATTTTAATGTTCTAAAACAGAAATCAGTATACATGCATAAAAAGATGGACAAAAAGATGTACATATGAAGTTTACATGATAAAACAAAATAAAATGTAGCACAGTACACAAACATGTACTTAACAACTGCACTAAATATTTTATGAATACATGTATACATATTCACAACGAGAAAGCACTAAATTTTCACTAGCACACATCACTAAGCACAGTTAGAAATCCACATTTATCACATACTTATCACAAATCACATAGTACTTTCAAGAAATCTGTCATCTTCATCTGACGTGAGTCCCGGCCGAGTCTTTCACAAATTATTTTCTTCATTATCCAGAGTTGCTCAAGGGATCTAGTGTTGAGTTCTGCATCCTATGTTGTTGTTGTTTTCTGCTCAAAGTAGCTGATCAGTGTCTGGATGCACTGCTTGGCTTCAGCAATGGTGATGTCCCTGGCCTCTTCTTCCTCTTTATCTTCGTCACTGTTGCAGTCCGGAACTTCCTCTTCCCTGGACACTAACATTAGGATGTCGTCATCTGTTAGGTGATGCCCTGTTTCTTCTTCCGCATCAATGTTCACATATTTCTCAGCTGTCATATCTGTGGCTGATGGAAGTTGGCGCATCTGTTGCATAAGCTGAAGTAGGGGAACATCATCGTCATCCTCTTCATCTTCATTCTGGCGGCGTAGGTGGGAAAGTGGCAGGTCATCTTCGTCGAATTGAGCATCCTCTGCTTCTGGTAGAATTTGCACATGTCTGTAACAGTTAGTGATGGTTTTTGTCGAAACACAATCCCAGGCCATCTTCACCATATGTAGGGCTTGTCGTAGGTCCACAGTTTGTTCCTTGTTCTTCTCAGCACAGTCGATGTAATGGGCCACAAGCTGTCGTCTGTAGTGGGCTTTGAACGCTTTGATGATTCCTGCATCCATGGGTTGTATGTGCGCTGTCGTATTCGGGGGAAGGAAGTGCAGCTTCACATTCCTCAATATGAGGTCACCTTGATTATGGCTGGCGGCATTGTCCACTAAAAGAATCACCTTCCTGTTGCTGAGTCTCATTTGTCTGTCAAAGTCTTTAATCCAGTCTTGGAACAGCTCCGATGTCATCCAGGCTTTGGCGTTGTGTCGATATCGCACCTAGGTCTCTGGGTTGTAGGTCTTGCCGAAACACCTGGGACGATTCACTTTGGTAATCACAAATGGTTTTAGCTTCGTTGTTCCAGTGGCGTTGGCTGCTAAGGCGACTGTTATCCTGTTTTTGGACTTCTTGGTTCCGCTCACTTTTTGCGTTGCCAGTGTGTAATTTGGTCCCAGTCTGTAAAACAATCCCGTCTCATCTAAGTTGAAGATGTCATCTGGTTCGTAGTCCTTGAGTACACGTTGTAGATCTCCTCGTCCCGTCTGAACCGCATTCATGTCAGCACTGTCCGCTTCTCCCTCGTATAATTTTCTTTTGATGCCACGTCGAGTCTTGAAGCGATGAAGATACCCTCTTGAGTAGTTGAAATCAGTAATGTTGAGTTGTTCCCCAAGTTGTTTGGCTTTAGTCAGTAGCATGTCGTCGTTAATGGCAGCGTGACGGGCAGACATGTCTGTAAACCAAAGGTAGAGAGCGTCGTCCAGGCTTTGGTGTTTTGGATGTTTTGCACGAGTCTGATCTCCAGAGTCTGTAGGGACGTCTAACCACTTGTCCTTGTTTTTCAAGATGTCGCCGATCGTTGATTTACCTAAAATATGAAAGAAATAAATGAATACAAATGTATATTTATTTATTTATCAGTTGGTGAAATTAAGATTTCTTATAAATTTACCATTCTGAATTTTTTTTTTTATATTAAAAGTAAGATATTAAATTTAACCTTAATTTATATAATCATAATTTAAAGAACCCACTAAAGTAAAAAGCTTTGTCAGAGGAGGGGGGTGACACAACAAAATACTTCTGTGGTCTTACCTATTGTAAGTGATGTTTCATCTATGATGAACTGCCGTATGTCTTGGAGAGATGCATTTGGATGATCAATCTTACGCTGACATATTTTTTTCTTTACACTGACAGGAACCTCGACTCCCCTCCTCTTTGCTTGAGGTGTAGACATCTTGGTAGATGACAGAATGCATTGACCAAAGATCAATCTGACACTCTTTTTATGCCATATTTTTAATTATCCAAGCTTTATTGACAATACATTCAGTCTCATCATTAAATTTTTTCAGTTTATTATCTGTCCTTGCGTTTTCATTACCTAAATGCGCTAATAGCTGAACACTAATCCAAGCGAACTCAGACACGCGTAATCAGTGCAAAAGTCATCCACATTCAGATCAAACACAAGCCATCTCCATAATTATCAATAAAACGTTTAACTAATTAAAGCTGGATTTTTTTATTTCATTATTTGTCATTTCCTACAAAATAAAACGTAATGTGCCTTGATATCCATTTCCCGTAGTGTAAAATAAAAAAAAAAAAGCAAAGAACGCTCATAGTTCATAACACAATTAATATGACATATTTTCTTCAATTTCATATTATTTAAACGGCACTCAGATATTAAACCTTTTTGTAAATATTTACGTTAAATAACTTGAAATTATACCATGTTGAACAGAATCTTGTTAAAGATAATAGACACACTTTTCAACACTACGAAACCAATCGCAAGTCAACAGGCATGTTAAATTGTTCATTTAATTTCCAGATCACCATAATTTATTAATATCAGAAATGTTTCTGAATGAATTCAAATTAAACATTTTACAAATTGTATTAGCTAAAATTCTTCAACATTCCAAATACGCGTGTCAATTACATGCAAATCATTCCCAAGGTAAACACACGCTAATTATAGATACCATTGTTTGGAGGTCACAGGTAACCGCCTTCATACGGTCTGCATGGCTAATGTTTTTACAACAATTAAAACCATGTAAAAAAGGTGTGAAATTGTCTCTCATCGAAAAATACCGTCCGGATTAATGAGTCATTTTACAATGAAATATTACGGTTTGTAGTAGAAATTGACCGTCCGGATACGGAACGCGAATTTCCGGATTAATGAGACAAAATAACGTGTAAAAAATCCGTTCCCAATAAATATCGTCTGGAAGGTGAAGCGTCCGAATTATTGGCGTCCGGATTACCGCGGCGCCACTGCAGATGTAAGCTTGATCGTGTGACTTACCAGAATTTCCTCTGTCCTTTAATGTACAACAGTTACTGTATAATTGACCTTTTGTTAACTTTTTTTTTAAAATAGGGATTAATGCTTAAAACTTGTTGTTACTCGTACTTTTATTTTCAGATTCTATAGGCTAATATTTGTTTATTTAAAAGTACGTATGTGTTGGGGGGTCTTTAAATTTTCACAGTATGCATATATTTTGGAAACATCCTAATTTGTGTTTACACTATATGTAACCGATATCTATTAATTGCTTTAATTATTAGATTTATTAATCAATTGACCAAATCATAAATGTCATTTGTATAATTAAACTATTCATTCATTGGGGTTGTGTGTTTTTCATTTTTTTAGTGGTTCCTTCGCGAATTCAGTCGCCATATGACTGCGAATATTAGCGCTTCGCGTAAGTCTTGCGCCACAGTTAAATTTGAAATGATGGAGAACCCTGTAGACATCACACCATTATAGACCCCCTGCTTTCCAAGTGAGCTAGGGTATAAAAAAAATGAAACCACACAACATAGGAATGTTTTGTTTATTAACATGATTTAGTTTGGCCTGGCCACTCTTGAAAAGATTTCTTCCTACATACTCATTTGTAAAACTCTGATCTCCTGTTATAGCCTGAACATTGTTCCAGGGACCCTGATCTGGAAAAATTTTAATCTAAACTGAGGATGCCAGCATATCAATTATGAGTAATAATTGTTTTTTTTTTCTTGCTTATTAGAGGAAGATTTTTCTTGTACATATTCCCCATGTAAAACTTCAATCTTCTATCATGGCCCTACACTATACCTTCAGGAGTCATGCTTCAAATAAACTTCTACACTGCCTAAAGATGCCTTCAAATTAATATGTAGCTTTGCCATTCTTGAGAAAAAAGATTTTTAAAGATTATTTTTCTGTATATTATCATGCACAACTTTGATCATCAATTGTGGCCAAATCCTTCAACTTAAATCTACATTATCTAAGGATGACTCTGTAAATAATATAATTATCGGTAGGCTTTGAGAAGAATTTTCACAATTTTTTACCCCCATATATTCCTATGTTAAGTTTGATTGGTGAATGTGACCTCACCCTCATGTTGGGGGATCATGATTTAAAAATCTTGAATGAATACTACCTAAGGAGATACTTTTATTTTAAAATGACTAATCATGGCTTTGCTGTTCTTGAGAAGATGATTTTTTCCTATATTCCTCTGTGAAACTTTGATCCCCTTTTGTAGTCCCAATGTGCCCTACCTCCTAAGGTCATGATCTGACCAAACTTGAATCTACACTTAGTAATGAAGCTTTAACTTGAGTGTTTCTTGGTAAGAAAAAGATTTCTAAAAGATGAAATTAATTCTAATGTGACTGTTTTGTAAAATGTATTTTGATTGGATAATTCACTGTTGTTTGATGCAGTTAAATGAGCATCAATGAGTGTGAAAGCTTTTGATTGTGACATCGTAATAGAATGATGCAAAAACACAATTACCCTTCATGAGGTATATCATATAAAAAAATCAACAAAATAAGACATAAAAATCAAATAAAGTGCATTAATTGCATTAGAATGGAAATAACCATCTTCTCATTTGTTATTTGCGACCATTAATGCTGACTTAACAGTCGCAAACATCAGTTTTATTGGCTCTGCTTACTTGTTGCCAGTAAAACTTAGTTGCCCCCATTAAATCAGCATTAACAGTTGCAAATAACAAGTGAGAAGACAGTTATTCCCTAATTTTCACTAAATTTTAATTATCTCCCCTTGGAAGAGAGCATGGCCTTTCCTTTGAACAAACTTCAGTCATCTCCTAGTCAGGGGCAAATATAATACTAAGTTTGATCTCTATCAGACCTCAATATCATAAGGGGTAATTTACCTCTTAGAGAGACTACCAGTGATGTCAGGCACAGGGTTCTCAAGATACTGAGTGGTCAATATATTCCTATGTCCAGTGTGACTCTTGATCTCGTGATCTAAAAATCAATGGGGGCCATCCACTCATTAAGGGAATAAATATTATTATCTCCTTATTGCATATACCAAGCCGTACGAAACATGATCCCCCAACATGAGGGTTAGACATGGCATGGATTCTGCTTCAGAAACCTGTGCTTATAGCATTCCTGCTCCTTTGTAAAATATGTATGGAAAGCCATGCCAAAAAGTGGTCGAGGCACAGACAAGGCAGAAGATATTGGCCAAATTATTTAAACTAGATCACACGGTTTTACAAAATCCATGCCAAAAAGCTGTGCTAGTTTCCTTATATGGACTCATGGATTCTGTAAACCTGTGTCAGAAACCCATGTCATTTTCCAGATATGGAGACACAGATTTTTGGAAACTTGTGTCAGAAAAACAGTGTGACATACCAAATATGGAGTCACAGGATCTGTGCATTTGTCTAGATCTAGGTCAGGACCTTTAGAGATCGAACCTCCTCATGTAACTGTGAATGCCAAAATGGTGATTGAAACCAAACTTCATAATGCTTTACATTATTATTATGCTTTATTATGTTTTAGAATTTTGAAAAGTTAAGAACCATACATACATACATGCCAACTTTCCCAATTTAGGCGGGATCCTCCCGATTTTACCCTTTTGATCCCGCTTTCCCGATCAGGAAAGCAAAACTGCCCTAAAATCACGATTTGGAAAAAATTCTAAAATTTATGATTTTCAGAGTTTCCCTATTGCAATATTTTGTCAATTGGGATTAGAATATCAGACATGTTTATTCAATTCACACAGATTCTTTAGGCAGGATCCTCCCGATTTTACCCTTTGATCCCGCTTTCCCCATCAGGAAAGCAAAATTGCCCTAAAATCCCGATTTGAAAAAAATTCTATAATTTCCAATTTTCAGAGTTTCCCTATCGCAATATTTTGTCAATCGAGATTAGAATATCAGACTTGTTTATTCTCATGCAGAGGTGTTAATTAGCCACTTGAAATCACTTTGCTTGAATGCACACAGCTGTCCAGGTACAGGTAACATGTAGCCTGGAGCAGTTTTCAGTTAGAAGGCCGGGGTATTGCAAAGTGAAACACATAAATTTAGGGGTTAATGAAAGAAGATGTGAGCAAGCTCACATACCCCATGCTCCCCCAAAACTCAACAATGCAACACGTTTTAAACACACAGTATAATAATTCAAAAAGGGGCATTACTTGCAAAAAATCATCACATCAAAACTTCTTGCATATAAGGACATTCAAATCTTTGTATGTTACAAATTTTATTGGGCTGAAGTGTCTAGATAAATAATGGAATCAAAATTTCTTGGTAATATACAAATCTATACATTATGTCTGAAATACCTACAAAGTTTCAGGAAATTCAGTGCAGGAGTTATGCTGACATACTGTTATTTAAATTCCTCAGTGATTTTGATTTGTTATGAGTGTAACCAAACTTCACAATGCTTTACATTATTATTATGCTACGTACATTATGTTTTAGAATTTTGAAAAGTTAAGAACCAGTCCATATGTGAATGTGCCCATTCTCTGTTTGTTAAAGATCTACTTTATCATTAGATTACAATTCATACTTAGTTTTTAATTAAGAATTAAATGAAAATGTACAATTCAATTGTAATTTTACCTTTGTTTGCAGAATCTGAGAAAGAATTTAATTTAGATATAGCAGACTATTTCATTGTCAACACTGCAATACAGAAATGATCATGAAGATTGAAAATGACTTATTAATTCTATATTGGATCAACTTATTGCATTTAGTTCAAAAGTGATGAAATCATCTTAAACTGACAAAAATACAATTCAAACTGACATCTATGAATTTAATATCCTTTAACTGGAGTAAAAGAAACATTCTTAACTGATGATCATGAATCTCTTCAATTTGATATTCAAACAAAGGAAGTTATGATTGAAGATGCTCAGTAAAAAGCCATGAGATATAAATAAATAGTTTGAATTGAAACCCGCTTGTGTTAAAAACCGTCCCCCTGGGAGACAGATTCCGTGCCTCCTCACAGGTTTCTGTGAGCGAGGATTCCTCATTTTCAGACTCAGATTCCATGTCCGTGTCTTGGGCATGCAGAACATCTTTTTAAAAACCTGTGCAGGTTCCATGTCTTAGCCATGCCCTATCCGTGCCTATTCCACCTCAAAATTTTGTACGGGAAGTTTCATGTCAAGCAAAGGGTTCTCAAGATATGGAATGGACAATATCTTCCTATGTCTAAAATAGGTTTTTGATCTTTGACCTTTTGACCTCAAAATCTAATGGTCATCTAGTCCCCTGGGGAATCCAGCTAGTGTATCAAGTTTGATGTCCATCAAGCCCAGGGTTCTCAAGATACAGAGTGGTAAATATCTGGCTATGTCCAGTTTGATCATTGACCTAAGAATGGCAATGAACTGAATGGCAATGACTCAAGAATTGACTGTATAACCAAAGACAAATTTCTGAAAACTACATAAACTATAAGGTCATGAGGTAAAGAATCATAGTATATTCTGAAAGATATTCTGCACCCCTATTTTCTCTCAGTCAAAAGTTACTACCAATTAAGGTTATAGTCAGAAAGACATACATAAATATAGACAAATGAATTTAAATGTCCCCATATGGGGGTCAATTATGATCACTAACATTTTCTGGTATGGAGCCTGTGTAGTGTGGAGGGTCAAACCTTGGGTTTTTGTCATCGACATCTGTCACGTTGATTGTGACCTGCATTGTCTGATGGGAGTCTGGATGGCCTTCAACCTTTAAAATAAAATCAATTTTCAAATTAATGGCTTAAAGAAACTGAAATTGAAAGCTTATAAGATTAAAATCATATGTTAAAAAAATTCCTATGTGACTATATGACTAAAATTATTTAAACAGATAATGACAACTATTATAATTGCACATCCTTCATAAACTATTCTGGACTTTCGAAACCTTCACATTGGGGAATCACAAAATTCATGATCACTCAATGTGCTTTGGTAATATATCATTTTTATTTTGTTTTTCAAGAATGGTTTTATTATTATGCCCCCTTAATCGAAGATTTGGGGGTATATAGATTTTGCCCTGTCTGTCTGTATGTCTGTCTGTTTGTCCACAAAAACTTTAACCTTCCCCATAACTTTTCATTGATTAGAGCTACTGCTTTCATATTTCACATGCCTATTCCTTGTGACAAGACCTTCATTTGGGAACTAACAAATCTGACTCTTGACATTGGGGTTTGACCCATTATATCAAAAATTTACCAAATTTTAACCTTGGCTATAACTTTGAACAGTTGGTGCTAGGGCATTCATATTTCACATGTGTATTCATCATGAGAAGACCTTTCCATTGATTAAATATTTTTGACCTTTTGACCTTGACCTTAGTTTGACCCACTTTTTAAAAAACTTTAACCTTGGTCATAACTTTTGAACAGTTAGTACTAGGGCTTTCAAATTTCACAGGTATATTTCTTGTGAAAAGACCTTCCTTTGAATGTTGACAATTTTTACCTTTGACTTTGACCTTGGAATTTGACCTTCTTTTGAAAAACTTTAACCTTTGCCATTACTTTTGAACAGCTGATGGTAGGGCTTTTACTGCATGTTTATTTCTTATGACAAGGTTTTTCCCTGCATACATTAATTGTGACCCTTTGACTTTGTAGAACCTTGACCATAACTTTTGAATGGTTGGTGCTCGGGCTTTCATACTTACCAGGTATATCCATTGCCACAAGTCCTTTCTTTGGGTAACAACATTTTTTGACTTTCATTTGAGAACTTTAACCTTTGCCATAAGCTGCCATGCTGGGGCATCAGTGTTTCACAAACACATCTCGTTTATTATTAAACATTTTATTTATTTAATATTTATTTTTAGCTATTATAAGGGGTTTCTGCATGGCAGGTGACTCTTTTATTCATTAGAGTGACAGTGGCATACTTGACATGTAACATCTTTATTGCTTTTTATTGTTTTTTTTTCCTTTCTCTTCTTTTTCCTGTGTTAAACTAGAGAGGAAAAAAGTTGTACCGATTATTATACCTTAAGGACATATGCAACTTACCTTACCTACTGATAATTTTTTAAGATATTCTTATTTAAGATTATAGTGTCATCAGATGTTCACAGATAAAAAATCAGCATGCATTACCAGGGGTTTTGAAAAAAATATCAGTTGATGAAAATTCTTGTATAATTCAAAGAAAAATATACAAAAATTACAAAACATATATATTCTAGATGTTTTGTTTATCCAAACTTGTTTTAGAAGATGTGTACAATAGCATATATAAACATTACAAGAGGCCCAAGGGCCTTGAATCACTCTTCTGATAAATTGTACAACCTTAATCACTTCTATTTGAAGCCTCTAAGTATCCTGTAGATTTAGATAAAGCCTTGAAATTCCAAAGGTAGGTCATCATGAGCTACATTTTAGATAAAACACTCTGAGAACCCAAGATCATTCCAAACCAATTAGTACCTGAGAGCACATCGTGGTGACTTACTTATCACTTGTCTTCTCTGAGGATCCAAGATGCATCAACTAACTAAATTTGATGATTCTAAGCTAAATAATACCTGAAATATTTATATAAAGCCGTAAAATTTCAAAGGTAGGTCATCTGACCTACTTTTCAGTTGAGGTACTCCGAGGACCCAAGATGCAACGACTGACAAAGTTTGATGATTCTAAGCCAATTAATACCTAAAATATTTAATTATAACCATAAAATTTCAAAAGTGGGTCACAGTGACCTACTTTTCAGTTGACATACTTTGAGGACCCAAGATGCATCAACTGACAAAGTTTGATGATTCTAAGCCAATTAGTACCTGAAAAAATATCCAATCAGGTCACATGACCTACTATTCAGATGACATACTTTGAGGACCCAAGATGCATCATCCAGCAAAGTTTGATGACTCTAAGCAAATTAGTACCTGTAAATATTTAAATATAGCCATGAAATTCCAAAAGTAGGTCAGACTGACCCACATTAAAGGTGACATACTCCGAGGACCAAAGGTGCATCAACTGACAAAGTTTGATGATTCTAAGCCAACTAGTACCTGATATATTTAAATAAAGTCATAAAATTTCAAAAACATTTCACAGTGACCTACTTTTCAGTCGACTAACTCTACAGACCTAAAATGCATCAACTGACAAAGATTGGTGATTCTAAGCCAATTAGTACCTAAAAATATTTAAATAAAGCAATAAAATTTCAAAAGTAGGTCACGGTGACTTACTTTTATGTCAACTTACTCAGAGGACCAAGATGCATCAACTGACAAAGGTTGATGATTCCAAGCCAAATAGTACCCGAAAATATTTAAATACAGCCATAAAATTTCAAAAGTAAGTCAAGGTGACCTACTTTTCAGTTGTAGTACTCCAAAGACCCAAGATGCATCAAATGACAAAGGATGATTCTGAGCCAATTAGTACCTGAAATATTTCAAGATGCATCAACTAACAAAATTTGATGATCGTAGGCCTTAAATTGTTCAGAATATGCCTCTAAATCATTTTGAAAAAGAATGGCCACAAAATTTAAAAAGTAGATCACTGTGACCTACTTTTGAGTCTACATGATATGAGGTCCTTAGATGCATCAACTGACAAGATTTGACGATCCTAGTCCTTATAGTAAGCAAAATATCAACATTTTAATAAAATGTAATTTTTGGTCAAATTTGAAGTGACCTTGAAACCAGGCCCTTTGCCCCAGGCCAATCCCCCATGCAAATTTTAATCTACAACATATCCTCATCCTTTTGTGTAAGTTTGGTGATATGATCTGCCCAGTGGTTCTTGAGAAAAAATATTTAGCAACCAGTACTTTTAGTTTTATTCATCTAATTATCTCCCCTTGTTTAAGGGTCACAACCCTAGTTTTAGTATAAATGGGAGCCCTTTGGCCAAGGATACCCCGAGACAAATTTGACAATAATTGGCCAAGGGGTTCTTGAGTTATGGCCCATATTCTAACATGAGGCCCAAGGGCCTTAACGGTCACCTGAGTACAATACAACAATTTAGAGGATCCATATATAAACCAATAAATGAAGCTTTGTTGCCCAAAACCAAGAAAAAAAGTATCATTAGCATCAACAAAATAATTGGTCTAGTATCTATCTGTCCCCTATTTATCACTATTACCATGCAGACTATTAACAAAATGTCTATTTTTTTACCCCATATTATTACTTCTCACATTGGCCTCTCTTGACCTTTGAAGAACATTTAAAAAGATAAGTTATTTTTATCTCATTTTTATTCATCTATTATTTCCAAATCTATCTGATTATTAAAACTATGAAAGTACTTTTTGTATTATACAATATATAATTGCATAATTCTTGTATTCTATTAACCTTTCAAATACCATAAAGTCACTTGTATTGGCCCCACTTTTTCCCCTCAGAAAATTGTTTAAAATTAGGGATGCGCTTAATACATCGGAACAAAATACAGCCCCTTTTTTCCAGGTCACGACGACCATTTTCCCGATCCGTTTTAATTGATTACGCCTACTCTTTGTAACCAATTATGTCAAAGTTTATTACATGTAATATTACTCTAATTTCAGAGTCATCTATGTCAGCCCTACCTGTTGTAGTCATTTACATCTACCCTACCTGTTGAAAAAAAGATAATCGTTTCATAAATAAAATCATAATGAAAAACGATCTTTGTTTTTGTTTTATTTCCATTGCGTATTCCGCCATTTTGAACTACTGTCGCTTATATTATATACAAGAACTGCATGTTGCTTAAGACATAGATATATTAATACCTATAAATGAGTCAACAACTATATCTTTGTGATATATTCTGAATTATCCACAATTCAATATCTTATTTTTATTGTTTTTATATTTCAGATATGCAGTTAGAGGTACAAATCATTATGGATTCTATTGTTACGTCATTGCTAAATATAATTCAGTCTATGTTTCACGTAGGACATGACCATTGTTTATTTAACAATTATCACCTCAACACCTGCAATGAAAGCGACGCATTTTTTAAAAGAACTTTATTAAAACATATTTCAGTTGGAAGCACATATAAAAACGTATTTTGTAACATTCAAGAAAACATTCATAAGACATAAATATTAAAATGTTCATTTAGCACGTCATCATGGTCACAGCACTGATTGTTCATTGCACTAGCTAACTAAAATAATTATCGATGGATACCAAGAACTGTTTAACTACCCAAAGCCAAACCTTTGACACTAATATCGCTTGGGTATGATTTTTGTTTACATAAATACGGACACATGCTTGTTATTCATTGTACCGGTAAGCATAACTTCATAACACACTTGGAATTAATTTGAAAAGAAAATAATCAGGTATTTCTTTTATCATCTCTAGTCAGATAATTATTAAAAAGGTTAAATTTAAATGTTCACACATGCATACTTATAATACGTAGAGTAAAAAAGCTGACTTGCTACTTTCGTTTGAGATTCGTAAATTTTCCTACTTTCATCTTAAGTTACTGTACTAGAAAAATTAAAGTCACATCCAATTTATGTGCTTTTTGGATGCGCATTTTACATAGGACCTGCGGTTTTTTTTCAGGATTTTCACCCCAACTTTGGAGGTGTGTCTTTTACACCATTGCGACCAATACACGCGACTTTAGGGTACATTGTTTACAGTGATTAATTATCAAAGGTCAATGGTAAAGGGGAATAACTTTGCTCAGCAGAATACAAGTTAATAGAGCCCTG